TTATCTCTGGCTTTCTCTCTCTCTCTCTCTACATATATCTACATATGCATATATACACACACACACACACATACATATACAGTGGCGGAACTATCGCCATAGCGACCCAGGCAACCGTTATGGGGCCCCCCGGGGCACACAGGGCAGCCCAGCCAGGACAAGGAACAAAGGGGTCCCCCCTGATGGCGTGCGGGGCGCATGGATTACTATGGCATCGCAGGCTGCTTGCTGTCACCGGCGGCTGTGAGGAGGAAGGCGCCGCTGTCCAGATCACTAACAACCTGCCAGTGATCTGTGCAGTGGCACGTTCCTCCTTACAGCCGCTGCTGAGTCAGTGACAGCCAGAGAGGATTTAAGCATCTACAGCTGAGTGATACACAAATAAAGTCCAGCATTGTTAATAGTTGAGTACTTGAATGTATTTTTACAATTTAGCTCCTGAGGTTAGTGCCACCTAAAAAGACACCGGACCTTGCCCATTCAGGCAAAGTGACATTGCTTTTAAAAAGCCCCCCCCCCCCCCACCAACACATCCCTAGTGTTGGCTGTTGTTGAAAGTTATAGGGGAAGTCACTCACCTTGGTCCTTTCAGTGTCCAGGCCTAGGCACTGGATGCTTGACCTGAGCACTGTCACAGGGGAGGCTGGGTTGAAGACAAGGTGACAGTGTCTTTGCATAGGTAATCTTTTTAAATGACATTTTTTAATTAGGTACTTTCATGAAAATATACGTTTGCAGAGAGGGAACTAACCTCCCAGGTAGTTGGTAACTCCTTGTGATACTGCTGACAAACACTCAACATGGCTCAAACATGTGATGTTATATTTGTATCATCATGATATCCTCCTGACCCCGCATCTCCTTTCTGGATTTAGATTCCAACGGAGGTTACAATTCGCTGGTCACGGTGTCTTTTTTTTTTTAGAATTGTATTAAAATGTCACAAATGACATTCAGTTCTACAGGCACAGCAGGGTGTGAGGCGGTTGTTCCGTGTCACATCGCGCTGTGCTGAAAAAAGTAAGGCATGCCATACTTTTTTCAGCATACACCACTGCATTCCCACCGCAACATGGTGGTGTGAATGGTGCCCATCTGTGACAAGGCAAATAGCCTTGTCACAGAAGGCTGAACATGTCTTCTTGCGTTGGGGCTGTGCTGGAAACAATGGCCAGTGCAGCCCTAACGCATGTGGAATGAATGGACCCTTACTGTGTATATGCAACAGAAGGCTGAACTGAAATAAAACAGTGTTTTTTCGCTTCTTATAAGCTGACTGAACATGTCTCAGCGCACCTTACATTTTAAAAAGTTGACATAGAGACCTGGGCTTTTAGTTGAAACTATAGTCACCATTGCAATAGTACATGTACATGTTTTGCAAAATCTTTGACTTACAGTTAAAAGAAATATATAAAATGATAAAACGAAAATACAGCGCTATAGTCAACAATCTACCTCTAATCTGCTGTGCAAATTAGTGACCAACCGCAACAAATGTATTAAAGTAAAAAATGCACTGCGCTATAACAATCTAAATATTCAGTGAATACCTTAGTGCTTCATACACTTAAAACATGTAAAACAACGTTATACATAATAGTAAAAACAAATATCATATAAAATCAATTTGTGCAGTCCTTACTAATAACATAAGTTGTACAACATCAATTTGTGCAATCCTCTTAATAAAGTGCAATGTCCTTTCAGAACATATATATCCTGTCCACTTCCTCGGGTTAGATAAGGCCGTAGATATTACAAATTAGTAATTAGAAATCCATGAGTCTGCAATTTTACACAGTTTTGTTTTATTCTCCTTTCTTATTTTTTTTTATTACGTCTTTTCCTTTTTCTAATTAAATAGTGTTTCCATTTAATTCGCCCCCTGGTGGAAGTTGTGAACTATCCACCCAGAGGGATTTAGTATGCATAGATTCAGTGGCGTAACAACCGGGGGGGCGGCCGGTGTGTCTGCTCCGGGCGTTAAGCTGAGGGGGGGCGCCATCAGAACATATAACAAAAACACCTCGAGTATCTTCAAAGCTAATAATTCCAAACCCCCACCGTGCTTAAGGATATTTCACTGCACTCACCGACCAATGTTATTCACCTTTTTACAGATGAATTGACTACAACCCATTAGTATTACTCAATTTCCGTTCAGTAGAGATTGATGATTGAAAATTAAGTAGTGAGACTCCTAGCGGCTTATAGAGATATAAATAACCTTTAATAATGGTGCTTGAGTTCTGAAATGTGTTACCTATTGTACATATAATGCTAGTGGCATCTAGTGGTTAATACTAGTATTGCAAGGCTTGATTTAGCTGAGAACAGGGAGCGTGATGCTTGCGTGAACGCCGTCACCTCGGAAGAAGTTTGAAGTGACGAAACGCATCAGTTGGACTGGGCCACACAGGCATCACGAACAAACAGAGTGGACACGAACAAGCGTCTCTGGATGTGTTTTTAAAAATGAAACTTTTTACTTCGTCTGTAAGTGTGTTTTTACTTATATTAAATAGAACTTCTTTACATATTGCACAATGGGAAGCCGATTTTTGTCTTTTTGAGTACTTACGGAAAACAAAGATTATATAAGAAGAGGAGAAGATGACAGGAATAGAGAGAGAGGTGCTTAACCTGTTAGATGCCAGATTTGAGCGAGAGAGAGAGACAGACAGACAGAGGAGTCTCTTTGGAAAGCTGGGCTAGTTCATCTGTAAAAAGGTGAACTACATTGGTCAGTGAGTGCGGTCAAATATCCTTAAGCAGGGTGGGAGTTTGAAAGCACGGATCACTTTATTAGCTTTGAAGATACTTGGAGGTGTTTTTGTTACATATATTCTGAAAGGACATTGCACAAATTGATGTTGCACAATATATGTTGTTAATAAGGACTGCACAAATTGATTTTATATAATATTTATTTTTAATATTAGGTATAAAGTTGTTTTACACATTTTAGGTGTATGAAGGACTAAGGTATTCACGGAATATTTCGATTGTTATAGCGCAGTGCATTTTTCACTTAAAAAATGAATATATCGTTTTTTTAATACTCCACACCACAAGTTCTGTACCTGCATCTGCAAAAATCAAAACGGAAAACAGACGCATAATAATCTTTCAGATTCATGCCACTGGTAATGCACATTTCGCAAATCTATGTGAACATAACTAAATGCAACATTCTTTAAACGTTTCAATTATTATAAAGCAACCTGTTTTTTTAATGGTAATTCTCAATCCTCACTCAGGTCTGAAGCCAGGTTATATGTTACAGAAAAGTAAGCACATAATTTATAACCACAGTGAGAACCTGCATACGTTAACATGGTGTATAGTTTCCTTCTAAATAAAGATGCTCCACCTAGTGGCAGCATCTACAAAAACTTTAACAAGACAAGAGAAAACCAATTCAAAGACCAAACATACAAGACATTTAAAACAAATCACTTGAAACGGGAAGAAGTCTTGGAAACTTTGTTTCTTTGTACTTCTACCTGAGCAGAGCGTGAATTGTTTTAATCGTGTCCGTTACAGAAGTTGTACACTGCATGCAACAACTAGAGAAAGTCCCTCTAAAAACGGCTATATAATAAGGGAAAAGTAAATATTTATCTGAAGAACATTTAAAATGACAAGAAGTCTTTAAAAATAGATGAACAACAAAAAAACTTTAAATAGACAAGCATTTCTGTAAATGTTAAATATGCATAACAGAAAAAAAAAGGGGGGGGGATTAAGGTAAACTATCACTTGACAGCCCACATTCCTTGCTGTCTTGTCTATGAGCCAGATCCTTAGTGCTGTCAAAGTTATGAAAATAACACTGTATGTTGGTAGTAGGTACAGATGTCTGTCCATGTGCCACTCCAGTACCCTGAATGCCACCATATAACATCACTCAGGGCTGACGTTTGGCTGCTCAGGCACCAAGAGCTTTGTTAGGGCCAGAGGGGAATTTTTTTTTTCCAGAGGGGTCGGAGTGGGGGATAGGACAGCAGTGGAGCACTGGCAAGGTAAAACATGGGCACCTTATAATGCCTGCTTCCAAGCTTATCTACCGGGGAGAGTTAGTAATTCAGTGACTTCAAGAGCTGAATCAGGAGCCCACAAACAAAGCAATCTTTATTCCCTTTGACACTAAACACTAAAGACTGCAACACAAAGCAAAGATACCATATTCCTACACTGAGCAACCCAACCCAATATAAATCTTTTGCTGTAAGTGCCAGGTAGTATTTGGACTAGAAATCCAGCGTGCTCCTATTTTGACATTGAGGGGGAAGCTTTGGAAATGGAATAGGTAAGGGATATTTGTAATCTGTAATATTTAGTGTGATGAAGAAGATAACAATTCGGGAAAAAACTCCTATAATATAATATATATATGCATATATATATATACATATACACACACACACACACACATAAGTTAACTTATGTGATTATCAAACTGTTTACCATACTTACTCCCTGTCACTACAGCCTATGAAGGGCTCTGGCCTACATAAAACAGGGCTACAATCACACCTATAGTTTAGGTGCGTTTAGGGATTCCTGCGATACGATTACATGCGGTTAGGAATCAAACACTATCCCTGGATGCATCAATCGTGTGTCCCGGTATAGTGATTGATTCCCAACCACGTGTAATCGTATCACATACCATTACGTGAGGTGTGCCAGCGTTCTTCCACTTTCAAATGTGGCCGATGTCATCCGATCATTAATTTGAACAGGTGACGACTGATTTGTGATTCCTGATGCAGGAAATCACAAGTTCCTGATGCAGGAATCCCTAAACGCACCTAAACTATAGGTGTGAATGTAGCCTAAGCAGCATAAAACATGTTCAGAAAAGAAATACCTTCAAATATAATTTGTTCTTACATATTAACTATTTTTCTTCAGCAATGGCAACAGTAAATGGATTTTTAGAATGACAGCATAACATATCAAGAGCAGTGAACAGACATTAACCAACTCACCTCTTCCTTTTGCCCAGGTGTATGTTCGATTCATTGTAGCAGTTCTTAACTCTTGCATTTGAGGCTCAGTTTGAGCATTTCTTAACTGAATTTCACTTGTTTTGTTTGAGATTTTTAAAGGCAAAATGTGTTTTGGGATACCTTTGTAAAACCAAGCTCCGGACCTCTTCCAGACCTGTGAAAAGATGTGGGAAAATGTTTAACATGTTTAAAAAGAAAAGGTCATCTCAGCCACTGGCTCTCTCAACCATTCAGAATGTAATCTGACCAACACATCTGGCAAATAAAGGGAGCAGCACTTACGTATGGATGATTTTTGGGCCCAGTAATGGCTACACTTCTACAGAAACCCTCTCTTTTAATGCTTTAAAGCTGGCTCGGCTCCAGATAGTAACAAGTGAAAAACCAAGAAACAGTAATGTACACCTGCAAGTGGGGCTATGTACTGTATGTAATGTGCATACCAGTAATTCAGGACACACAAATGCGTATTTATACAAATCATGTACATACATTTTGCACAGTATGAAAAGACCTCTAATCTTGTTTATTTATTAGAATTTACAATTCCAGGATCTATTATATGTCAAGCTACTGGAATGCTGTACAATTAACTGTAGATGCGACAGACTAAAGTAAAAAAAATTACCAAAAACATATGCAAATGTCTAGTCATTATGTCCATTATTTCATATGTAAAGACTGACAATACCGTTCATGTCCACTACTCTACTCTCTGAAAACTGCATGGAAATGTTACATTATGGGAGTCATTACAAGTAATGATATAATTACACATTTTAGACAGTCTGTCGGTTAAAAGAAATATAACAAGCACAGTTTGTGCACATTGTGCTTAGCAGCTGAGAAGGGTAAAATCAAATTTTCTACATTTAAAAGCTCCAGAAAGAAAAAAAGCTGACATCATTGGCCAGGCAGCATTATATGCACTCCAAAGCTAGCCTACAGTGTGGAGCTGCCGTGTTTGAAAACACAAGCCATTCTCAACTTGCAATCAAATGAATAATTCTATGAATTATTTTCATAGAGCAAAATAATACTTGCAAATAATAAATGACAGTAATAATGCAAGCTTGCAGAGTGCTGCAAACTGTGAAACTGACACTATGTACTTTGAAAACCTTGAGGCATTCACAGATGAGTTTTTAAAGAAAACCAAGTCAAATATACTACTGTTTGCCGTACTTGTAATTTTTGCATAAACCACAAATTCCAAAATATATCATAGAGCCTCGTACAGCCTGCTTGACAGGGCTCCCCGCTGGACACCAAATGATCATGTGTCTGTACAGAGTGCCAGTCAGCTAATACCTTTGGGTGTACAGATCTGAGTAATCCCCGCCCTGATCCTACTGCTATAGGCTCAACGCCTCCACATCCACTCGGCCCCCCTCAACTTCCTGTCCATTACAAAATCACAAGGAATAGCACAGTCTCTAACAGCAGTCTATCTACTAGCTCATCTACTAACTTGGAGAAGGGAGAATGAAGGAGGCAGGAGGTGAAGACCCACAGCTTACTAGCATACACCAGGGTGGCTCCCTAGGACGCTGCAAGGGGAAGGAAACACCCTAAAACAGGATATCAGGGCCAGTACTCAAGGGACCAGCTGATTCTGCAGGAAACTACAACTTTTAAACATCAAGGAGCCTAATCCATTGCAAGTGCGTTACCCAACATTGGAAATCGCGTAAAAACATTTTGACTTTAATATCACTTTAAGGAGATCAGACAATGGAGCCATTTGAAGTGGTGAAAAAAATGTTTTATAGGAGAAAATACAAAATTCATGAGAAATAAAAGGGATGCAATAAGAAAAGAACTAAACTGTGTGCAAAATTATTACACAAGTGAAGAAATGTATTGAGAAAGAAAGATGCAAATTAACTGCCAAAGAGAGCAAAAATACAACTTGCCTAATAATTGTGCACACAGTGTATTTCATAACCAAAAATAACGATTGTACACCATTGTGATATCGATGTAAGTTAATTGAATGCTTTCATTTGAAAACTTTTGTGATACAATAGCTCATGTAAGGTGCTCTTTAAGTTAGCAAATGTATGAATAATACTCAGTCTGCCACTTAAAAGTGACCTGTATTTTGTATTAATGTATGCGGCCGTTCTGTAACTCACTATCCATTTTTGTTCTGAAGCTACACAGATCTCAAAAGTCAGTTCACAAAACAGTAAACTGACATGCCCTTTATACAGCAGAGATGATCTGATTACTGGCAGACAGACACAAGGGGAATAATTATGACTCAATAAGGTCATGCCAAGCACTCAGAAGCCTGATAACAATTTGCCTTGGACAGTCCTGGAGACTCCAATCTATGTAGTCACTTAATCACAGAGCCACTCTCTAGCAACCACCATTCCAAAGGCAAGTCAAGTGTCAAAATGGATGCCTATTATGTAGCTTTCAAGGCATCAAAGCGGACTTTACATTAGCAACAAAGCAGTAAAGCAGAATATAGATCCTTCATAGGTGCTATGGGATGTAGCTAAATGTGTAAACTTAGGTGGTCAGATTTCTGCCCAGAGATACATGAAGCTGGAGGGTGATTCAACCTGCTGCCATCCACTGAAATATATATATTTTGGGTGGGTTAGATACCCCTGCCCTCATCCTAAATCTACTTTCAATCATTTCTGTAAAGCTAGATATGATGGTATATATATATATATATCTTTGGTAATTATGTAGATTTCTAAACATCAGCACTTCCTGTGTAACATTTAACTATACCATATAAGAATCTGTATCATGAAGAGGGAGGGGGGTTAACTTTGTCGTGTAAGAAGAGCCGAGTGGCGATTGCTTTAGAAGAATTACTGATTTGCTCCATTTGATTCCAATAAATGTTAGCATTTAGATCTGCATTGTCTAATTATTAGACATGTACACAGCATAATAATTAACTTTGGACGACACTCAATATTGAGTTGGCCCACTCTTTGCCGCTATAACAGCTTCAACTCTTCTGGGAAGGTGTCCACAAGGTTTAGGAGTGTGTCTATGGGAATGTTTGACCATTCTTCCAGAAACGCATTTGTAAGGTCAGGTACTGATGTTGGGTGAGAGGGCCTGGCTCGCAGTCTCCGCTCTAATTCATCCCAAAGGTGTCCTATCGGGTTGAGATCAGGACTCTGGGAGCAGGAAATTGTCCAAAATGTTTTGGTATGCTGGTGCCTTAAGAGTTACCTTCATTGGAACTAAGGGGTCAAGCCGAACCCCTGAAAAACAACCCCACACCATAATCCCCCCTCCACCAAACTTTACACTTGGCACAATGCAGTCAGGCAAGTACCGTTCTCCAGGCAACCGCCAAACCCAGACACGTCCTTTACCAGACAGAGAAACGTGGTTTGTCACTCCAGAGAACACGTCTCCACTTCTCCAGAGTCCAGTGGCGGCGTGCTTTACACCACTGCATCCCACGCTTTGCATTGCACTTGGTGATGTAAGGCTTGGATGCAGCTGCCGGCAATGGAAACCCATTCCATGAAGCTCTCTACGCACTGTTGTTGTGCCAATCTGAAGGCCACATGAAGTTTGGAGGTCTGTAGCTATTGACTCTGCAGACAGTTGGCGAATTCTGCGCACTGTGCGCTTCAGCATGCTCTGACCCCATTCTGTCATTTTACGGGGCCTACCACTTTGTGGCTGAGTTGCTGTTGTTCCCAGTTGCTTCCACTTTGTTATAATACCACTAACAGTTGACCGTGGAATATTTAGTAGCAAAGAAATTTCACAGAACACCTGAATCCAATGATTTAAAGGGGTGTTCCAATACTTTTGGCAATATAGTGTATATTACTTATATTAGGTGCCTAATCGATTTATCTTATTTGCAAACAAATTTGACCACCATTATAAAATGTAAATCAGGCAGGCAGCTAGCATTTGCTAGTGGATTAGCGATGACAGCCTCCATAGTTATCCTATGGCAGATTCTTTATTTTATTTATTACAACCCAAGGTTCCTATCTCGCATACATACAGGGCCAATTTAGACAGGAGACATTTAACCGTCTAGCATGTCTGTAGAGTGTGGGAGGAAACTGGAGTACCCAGAGGAAACCAATGCAAGCCCCAGGAAAACATATACAAACTCCATGCAGATCACATCCTGACTGGGATTCAAACCGGGGACCCCCAGTAATGCAAGGCAAAAGTGATAACCACTAAGCCACCATGTTTAATTTATTATTGCACATAAAAGGAATATTCTTGCAGCAATGTGTAACTAAAATTACTAAGGGGTACACAAATGTAGTCCCTCAGAAATTGCAGGGTACTTTGATACCAATTAATTTTCTTTAGTTTACCTTATGGATGCCAGATCTGTCATCTCTAAGTGGTTGTATCCCTACAAATGTGACTTTTACTGTAAACAGTAGGTCAGTAGCCCAGCCATCGTATCTAGTCTTTCAACCAAGTGTGTTCTTTAGTAAGTAGCTTAAGGCAAAACTAGGCAAAAATCATTTTAAGATATCAATTTTAACATATAAATCCTACCTGCGCTCTGACTTAGAGGGCTCGTCCCTTGAAGCATATTAGCCATGTGAAACACCATAGAAGAAAAGAAAATGCTGTTTTTAATAAAAGCTGATCTAATATACCTCATCTGTTTGTGAGTAGATTTTTTACATTTTATTCATCTTTTTTTGGACTGCTACATCATGCTACTATGTTTGTAGTTGCCTGCTTTTCTTTTATGTTACTATCACAATGGGTTTCCAGATTTCAAAAGGATGGGAAAAGGCCTAACAATTGTAATTGCTGTTGTATAATGTTTTGCTTAAGTATCTAGCATGAATTTAACTACAATATTTCCAGTAGTTACAGCTGTATATCAGGCATTATCTAGCTTATGGCTCTTTATGCTATCTTGTAGCACCTTCATAACACAAGCACTAAGAGATGACCTTAATGTTTTTCTTGATAGTAATTCTGGTCTTAAAAACTTTTCATGAATTCTGCATCTTGTTTACACTAGGGCGCAGCCTGTACTGGCCTCTCAAGTGCTCCAGCACTAATAGCTTCAACTTGAGCTTCAGTGGTCTCTTTGATTTTGCATACTAACACAGTTGTGTCTTTTGGTGGATCAGGGTCACCTATGGTGTGTAGCAAATTGGCTATTTT